ACTTATTCCAACAATATCTCAGTAAAACATCAGTATCGTGCCACTGAGTATTGTGCAATGACTACAGAAAGTTTAAAGCCGCCTTCTTATAGTCAAAGTTTTAAAGGAAGCCTAGGCATTACGTCATATCTGCTACTCGAAAGCGCTGTACAAACTTTCTGCCGATCCAGACATTTAAATGCTAGACATTTATACAATGATTTATTTCTTTTGTAATATATTTCGTATAAAATAAGCGTAGAAGTGTAATATGGAAATATGCATGCGCCTGTCCATGCGAAATAGTCATCTTCAACCGACTTAACTTTTAGGTCACGAATGAATCTTTTAAATATTTTGGAATTTTTATACCTCTAAATATTCCATCTAGTGCACTGAACATTTGTTCCGTGTTAATATTAAATTGCATTTTGTTTTTTTACTAAAAGTTTTGTTGTTTGTAACATAAGCTAGTGAGCCAATTATTTAAAATTTGCAATAAGAAAGCATTAAAGCAGCTATCTTCAATAGTTATAACTTCGTACAATATATGCAAGGAACATGCAGGGGCAAGTCTCTAGCAACCTCATCTATTGTACACTTGTCCCGACCGCAAGCAGCTCCAAGCCGGCAAGATTAATTGCAAGCCACGCTCATAAATTGAGCACAGCGAATCTCTGTGGATGTATGTCATCAGTTAAGGTAAATTATGCTTGTGTTTTGTTCACGTGTATAATCTGGACTAAAACTGTCTTTCTACTCTGAACTAAACAAAGATTAAAACTTCTGTAAAGTCTAGTTGACGTATTTAACAACAATAACTTTTATTTACTAATAGCAATATCACACTCATAATATTGCCGCGAAAAATACGCAGGCGCTGAGTGATTAACTGTGCAGAAGTTGTTTAGAATTTTTAAAAGTACTAAACAGTTTCATTTCATTTTAAATCCAACCTCTGTGTCATATAAAATTGTACCAATAAATGCATAACTAAAAAACTTATAATATTTTACCAACAAAATTGTTATTTAATAGAGAAATGATAAAAAACGATTAACAACCTTGAAATGTTATATGTTTTTGCAAACTTTACATTAAGGTTACACAAACAGAAGACGAAACAGTCGCGCCACACTAAACCAACACTAAACCGAAACAAGCAAACAACTTAATCCATTAATCATTGGAACATTTGATCGCGCTGTGACTTTATTCAGAACAAATGATTCCTGATTTAATTATCACTAATAAACAGAAATATGATTTAGTTTACTAATTACTCAAAAACCTGTGAAACTTAAGACTACAACTTTCAGTTTGCCAAAGATACAACTTCATAATGATTCAATATTGATTATGGTTAAAGTAAAATGTTTAGAAAATAATATATAAAAATAATAGCAAACTTGTAATTGTAAAACTTTGTTTTTAATAACTTATAAAAATTACTAGGAACTTTGCCCGGTCAAAGTTCGTGCTTGCACTTGCATTCACCATCCATAACTATCTTGAAAACTTTCAAAGTTATCTGACACCAGCCAATATTCAAGAAGTTATAGCTTGTACCTTGGGAAAACCTCTTGCCTAAGCATAAAATTGAATAACATGTCTACGAAACTTTCTAATGATGTTTTTTTGCAAATGGGATGTTAATAAGGTCCTTCGTTCACTAAGCTACGCTAACCTAAACTGTTCGATATTTGCGTCGCAAGTCTCGAACAATTTTAGCAACCGCCAGAAACGCGGTCCGTACCAAAACATTGAATTGTCGACGCAAGTCGCCTATTCAGTTAGTAGAGACATAGCCGCTACATGTTAAGGGTCTCTCCAGAATTATGTATATTAGTAGTATCTTTTATTAAACAAAAAATTTCTAAATTACTCACAAAAATTTGCAATGTAGCCATCTTTAAAACATTATGAACCTCATAGTTTATTCTTAAATTAACTTATTTTATTAGATATCAAAATTTTAAGATCAATTTTTTAAGATCTACTTTTTCACAAGATATTTCTATCCCATCGTTTAATTTCAAAGACAATTTTAACATTTCCAAGTGTCTACTATCATAAGATCTGTCTATAACAAGAATATTTTTTGATTTAAAACCAATTTTCATTCAAAATTAAGACTTAACACCGCTGCATAGATGTCATATAAGATTACTTTCATCTAACAATGCACTTTAAAAGTCAAACCGATGGGTCAACTTAAGTTGGCTAGTAGCAAGATGGATGATGCGATCTGCTCAATAAACGACGTAACTTAAGTTAGGGCAATTTAATACTTGTAATTAGTTTTAAGCACCTACTTAAGCTAATCTTTTTGCACTCAGATAACTGGTCGGTAAGAAAACGTAAACTTAATCTGTCATAAAGCTACTCTGGGATGGTTCATAATTAAAATAATTTTACCGATAAGCAAAAATAAGTGAAAACTTGTTACTTTTATTAATTCAATTTTACTTAACACTATCTTGACTTTATAACCCTGTTGTCGTTATGTGCTCGTCAGATCACTATCAGAGTAAACAAAAATATAGTTATCTCAATATTTCTAAGAGAAATGAAAGAGAGCAATATCTTTTTGTACGATTATTTCAGCAGTGGAAGCCCACGATAACAATATTTTGTACAACAATAAAGATTCTTTTAATCGTTATTTAATTGCTCCTAATCTATTCTTGTAACGCAATAAATTGCTACTAATAACCTAATAAATTTAAATTATCAAATTAATCTCACCTGAGGCTAAAGATACGATAGTTACAGCTTTAATTTAATATGCCTATAACTAACTAAGATCAGTAATGAGTTTATTAAACGCAGAATTCAGGATAAATTCAAAGTTATTTGTTCCCTGACACAGTTTGACTTAATTGTTTCTTTTCCTAAAATAATTATCTTACTAATATTATAAATTCGAATGTTTGAATTTTGTTTGTTAGAAGATATCTCCAAAACGGTTGTATGGATCTCGCTGAAGTTTGGCATAGATGTAGAACATAGTGTAGGAGAACGCGTAGGCTACTAATTAAGTTTCTTCAATTTCGCACGGACGGAGTTGCAAGCGACAGCTAGTCTAATACAAAGTGTTTATATTTATAAAGAACTTACACGAGCAGAAGCTAAAAAACAGCCATCTTAAAAAAATTGCCATTTAAAATTTGTGACGGAGAAAAATAAATTGCTATAATCTACAGTATTAATATTGAGTGTGAAATAAAAAAAATAATACCTTACAAAAAGTATATAAATGTATAATATTAACTAAGAGTCCCCAAAGTGATCCAGGTCTCCCTGGGGTAAACGAGAGACTAGGGGTGCCAGAGAAACTAGATAAAATTCTAGACACATTAAAAAAAAATTAGGAATCTCCAACAAGAGCAATTCAAAGTAATAAAATTTTTCATTTTTAAAAATTAATAGATAAATTCCTACCATTTTATCGAGTAACCAGCTGCCAGGAAATATTAGAGGTACATAAGTAATCATATATATCATTGAAGTCCACGACACAACTGTACTCTGCACATTATAGTACCTGACAACTATATCCTGTATTATTGCATATTGCATCCATTGCATTGAATTCGAACTCGAGTACAATACAAACAATCCCAACATGATCCATCTTGTCCCATACACTTTGTATTTAGTTACACTGTCAGCAGCCACGTATTCCATAACACCTTCTAATTTTTTTGGACTTGTATACGTAGACCATGCAGGTTCTACTGCTTTGGTATTATCGTTCTCATTTTTATTAACCACAGACATTATTTTCAAACACAATATTCTAACGTCCGTTAGTTGCTAACGCGCACTGTTTAAAGACTGTCCTAATTCAAATTGATAATTTACTTGTTCTTTATCAATCGTCCGATCGTAAACATCTGTGAATCCTTTTATCTACACAAAAGTATTTGAGCTCTTGTTATCGAATTAATCATCGTCTGTGAGACCGGGGAATTGTTATTTCAAGTGTTTCGCAATCTATAGGTTCATGTGAGGGTAAAGTGATAAGTAATTATTTTTAGGTTTCATAAACTTTATACCAAATAAGATTTGGTTTAAAAGACGAGCACTAAAATCAACCGAGTTGATAAAAATGGATCAGCTATTTATCAATAAAGATAACAAGACAAAAAAAGTTCCGTTCCGTTTTCCGTTTTTTCGTTCGAGATAGAATCGCACTTGTCTATAGAAATAATCATCCCAAGACAGAATAAAACAGAGAGCAAGACATAAGACACAAAACCTAGTACCACAAAACGATAAAATTTCCTTTATTTTCCACCACGAATTCTGTTAGCGGCTTACGTTTTACAAAGCCTTTACCTAAAACCTGTCTCTTTGGTTGTTTGTATTGCTTTGACGTATTTAATGCCGTCGAAATGAAATGGACATTAAGCCGCTGCTCAAATTTTGCAAATGGAATCAAAACTTTCCTAATGGATGTTGTGGCCGGTGATGTTGGAAATTCAATCAGTTGTTTGTTCGTATTGAAATATTTAGTTGATTTGGTATTTGTAATCTGTTGTTTTGTTAAAATGTTTCCCTTTTCATCCAAACAGTATAACTTATTATAAGTTATAAATTAAGTAAAAAGTACGATGAATGAAACTAAAGTAAGGAAACCAAATACTCAAATGGCGATTAGATACGAAGCAACCATCAAAAAGTTATTAAAATTAATAATTTAAAAAAAGAAAATGAACAAAAAGATCTTTTTAAAAACAAGTATTTTTATTTGTTTTTTTAATTTTATTACCTAATAAAAACGGACGCAAACTCGACAAGATTGTGTCTTTTGGTGGGAAGTTCCTATGGCCGCCTTCCAGCTCTATGATCAGATCACCACCACGTCATTACAGTAGTAGTTTACATATGTATGCAAAATTTCAGCTCAATCGTTAACCGGAAAGTGGACTTTTAATTTGCAAGATTTGATGATAAACAACAGGACAAATAAAACTAAATAAAAGCTTGTAATAAGTGTAATAAATGAAACTCACCGTTTTATCCAGTAGCCAGCTGGCAGGAAATATGAGAGGCACATATGTTATCATATACACCATGGAGGTCCACGACACAACTGTACTCGGCACACTATAGTACTTCACAACTACATCCTGTATTATCGTATACTGGGTCCACTGCAACGAGTTTGACGCAGAATATATCACAAATAACACGAGCATCAACCATCTAGATTTGTACACAGTGTATTTAACACCGTCCATTTCTTCTTTCAAGCCGTCCATCACACTGCCAGCTACATCTAATCTTGTACAAGAATCAGTCTCTGATAATAACGATGATGGTTCCGCGGGATTCATCCCGTCCACTTTCTCAACTATCACTGACATATTATAATTTGAAACAGTCTTATTTGGGTCCCACTTATAAGCTCGTTCCACGTATATTTACAGATACATAATACTGATAGAATTTCACAGTTACTAAGACACTATTTTTGAGCGTAACTTCAGGTTCACGGTCGATCTTCGCGAACAAAACCGTACTTGTTCAATGAACTTAGATAATGCAACAAAACATATCGCTGTCTCTTTCACGTAACATTTTTTTCAATAACTCTTTCTTGTACCCGCCTTTAAGTCGCCTTTAACCAAAGTCAAAGTAATAACTGAATTAATTTATAATGAAGCTAAATGGAAAATTCATTGAAATAAGTAAACAACGGATGCTACTCGTTACCTTCAGAATTGTGTGGGTTATCATACAACTGATAAGCGCTAGTAAGACTGCATAAACATTTACAATTACGAATATTGTCTTTTTAAAATTAAGAATCACAGATGTGAAGGTTAAATAACACATGGCGATTAATAATTTAAAGTAAACAAAAGTTAGATAAAAGCAGTTAACAGTTCTTTAGGGTTCCGTACCTCATAGGAAAAAAACGGAACGCTTATAGGAGCACTTTGTTGTACGTCCGTCTGTCTGTAAAGACCCTTTTTTGTATAATCTGTAATTTATTAAATGTATAAGTACTAGAGAATTAAAACTACAATAACTTAATTCGTTCACATTTAATCTTAGGTAGATCTTGACGATTAGATTCTTTAGGAAAATGACAACCTATTGCCTTCTATGTATTTAACAATGTTGAAAAGAAATCAGATAAGCATGCGTTAAAGATATCGGGAAAGGAAGGTTCCGAAGCTATACTTATAAAACTCATCAACTTGAAAGATATCCAATTAGTCACACGATGACTGAAGTAAAGCACCCCTAGATCGGGTAACGTCAACACATCAAAATGATTTTATACAAGTTCACCCAAAAATATATTGAATACCTAAGTCGCCACGATTTCTATTTTATAGTATTTTGTTCTCTTTGAAAATTTCACTTCTTTGAGCTAAAAGCACTAAACAAAGAAGACAATTATTGCCTTCTGCTTAAATGCCACAATTTTGAAAGTTCGTTTTTTAATTCCCATCGCATTTTCTAACCGTACTTTTGAATAAAATGTGAAATTGTCTTCAATGAAATATTAGCGGAGTTCATAAAATGTAATGGTGCGTCGCTGACGTCGTCTAATCTTTCCACTCTATTTAGCGACCCCCACCCCCTCCCCGCACCACGACCCCACGCCCCTGCCGCGCCACCGTTGCGAGAGAATTACGTCTTCGTTCTAATAAGACCATTTCCCTTTCAACTTATATTTGGACTCTTCAAATGCCACGTTTTAGATTGTACAATTTGTTTAATAAGATTAGTCGATTTTTTCATCATGTCATCGCAATTTTAAATCAGTGATATTCAAACTTATAGCAGAGCCAATTCAATAGGTAGGGTTCCCATTCTATCAATTTTAGTTTTATAGTTATATCTGCTAAAAGACATCGAATCGATACACATTTCAATTGGAACAGTTGTGAATTGAATTCAGTAATTAATCACTATTTTTCGTTCATTTTTGTAACACCCTAGTGTTGAAAAAAAGGTTCACTGACGCAACATTACAATGTGAATCGTAAGTAAACCGGCAGTAGTTTGTTAAAACCCTGTCCTAAAAACATCTGCCTTTATGTCTAGTAATTGATCCGATCATGACCTTATAAGTTCGATCTATTTCTACTGTGCCGTATATGTTTTTATATGCACAATTATGTGACTCGCATCGCCGGCACATTGAATATTCATTGAATTTGTTACAACACGTGTATCGTTTTTCTTTATATCGGCTAAGAATATATTATCGAGTATTTCGATTTGCGAATGTTTTCATAAAACTAAATAAATAAAACATAACAATATAAAGTGAACTTGAAACATAGCTAAGAATTACAAAAAATATTTGTGCCTTCTTCCTTTCTCATAATTTTTCCACGTTGATAAAATGTAAATAATTCGCTTCAAGAAATAGACATTTGTCTATTTCTATCTGTAAGATTTATAACGAATATAAAGTGTCCGTAGGTGTTTTATAAGTACAGACTCTAAGCTAGAGGATATGAAACCATCCTGTTCAAATGTACTCAATCTAGGAACCTATTTTACCTTGTTTATCACGATATTAATTTAAAACAAAAATAATAATAAAAAATGATGACACTGTAGTTCGATTCATAATATTAATTAATTTTTAACAAACATTATTTTAAAATGTGTTCTCCGTTAATATTTTTCAAGGAAAAAAAACTATCGTAAATGAGACAGGATATTGTCGCGTAAATAGTTAAAGCAAAAACACTATCAGTCGATATTCCATAAATTGTAATTAACATCGCTTATCTCGATCACAACAGATGAATACTTACAAATAGCGCTTATCAAAAACACACTACACTAAACAC